CCAAGCGCCAACAGGCCAAACTCCACGCAAAGATGCGAGCCTCCAAGAACAACAACCCCTATCCTCAATCAGGCCGAGTAGGCTCCGCTAGCCATGCCGATGTCGACGTCGAAACCAGTTCCTATTCATTCTCGACCGCTCTGAGCGGGAGCGCAACCTCGATTGAACGATCCTCTCGCATGTCTTCTCGAATGTCCTCCGACGATGGTCGCGCCCCACCCACCGCCGGCGCAAGATCCATGGCCCCCACGATTTCGACTGATCACGATGGCGCTCATTCCCTAGTCGCCCCGTCCCACGGCGCTCCATCCGTGGCAGGGACGAGTCGAACCATTGGAGGCGTCGAGTCTCGCAGAGGGGGAGACAGCACATTTTCATCCCCAGCACCGTCAGTGCGGTCATTGACGACCACCTTGACCACAATCCAGTCCATGACGCCAAACAACGGCGGCACCCATGTGCCAACGAACCCGACCAACAACGGCAACCACACATCGCACCAGGGTCACACCCAATCCATCCATTTCAACCAACCATTCCCAACAGCACCGCCCGCATCTGCCATCCCCGCCCATCTTGCGCCTGCGGGGTCGGCCTCTGGCAACCCCCAAACATACACAACGGCTACGGCCAACAACCTGCTTACCGATAACGCATCCATCATCACCCTAGCGTCCTCATCGCAACGTCGTCGCCGTCGCTCACTCGATACCGATGCCTCTGTCCGTGCCCTGGCCCCTTCCTCCCTCTGGGGCGGTAGCCGGGAGAGCCTTCCTCTGAGCGTCCTAAGCGCCAACATCGAACAGGGTGCGGGAATGCCGACAACCCCGGGGCTTCACCAAAGCAGCTCGCGTATAGCCAACGCCGAACGCACTAGTATATACTCGGCCACTGGTGTCGCTCCCGCCATACCGGGCGACCGAAACAGCTTTTATGCGAAGCAGAGCGGCACTGGGGACGGAGCGAGCGTTCGGAGCGGGCTGCTGGGCCACAGCCGGTCTGACAGCATCAGCGGGAGCATCGGCGGCGTGACCAGTCCGTTGACTAGTCCGAGAGAGACCTCGGAGAAGAGCGGAACGGAAGACAGGAGCGACGGTACGAATCGGGCCAAGGACGACGAGGAGCGCTAAATACAATATTCCATCACTATTCACGACCATTTTCTCGCATTAATGAGTCTGGGGCTTGGGTGTTTGGCTGGCATCATGGGAGGGGGACTGGGATGGTTCGGTACTTGGGATTGGGGGCGGTTTCATGGATATTACCCTCACGGGGCTCATACGCAGCCAGCTAGCCGTGAGTTGAGCATTGACGGGAATACATGCATTACGAACGAGGTCTGATTATCGTACTTTCTTGGTTTTTGCCAGTGATTACCCAATAATCAAGTTTGGTGATTACTTATATGCCAGTCTTGATAAGTACTTACAGCTGGACTAGCATTGTTTTAATACGGCAGGGGATCCAGGTCCAGTCCCTCGACGGAAAACTTGAAGGAGTCGTTGCGCGAGTAGCTTCCCCCGACGTCAATGTCCAAGCGTCCGCGAATGCAGTCTTCAAAGTCAACGTCGGCGTAGATGATGCCCTCGTCGTCCTCCCACTGCGGTCCGGCGAGAACGTCGCCAAAGGGGCCGACGATGGAGGACCCGCCGCGGGAGACCCAGTCTTTGGATTCGAGGGCCGGTTTCGTCGAGGTCGTGGCCTTTGTTGTGGTCTTGTTTGTGCCGTTTGTGCTGGTGCCGTTGCTGGCGCCGGGAAGGGCGATTTCGTTGCCGTCTTCTGTGAGGCACGAGTTGCGGCGGGCGCGAGGGGGATAGATTTGGGCGTCTGGGGCGTCTTCGATGCCGCTGTCGTTGTCTGATGCCGCCGCCGCCGCCGCCGTCGTCGTGGTCGTTGCTGATGATGACGAGGTGGTGGTAAGGGGCCTGGCGGCCATGTTGGACGAGACGACGAAGCAGCGGCCCTCGCAGGCGACGGTGCGCATGAGGGGAAGCCAGGTGTCGCGGCCGTCTGCGGTGGGGGCGAGGTAGAGGTTGATGTTTTGGGCGTAGAGGGACTGGCGGAGGAGGGGCATGTAGCTCTCCCAGCAGATTGCGGCGGCGAGGTTGATGCGGACGCCCTTGATTGTGGTGGAGACGGCGCGGAGGGTCGCGGGGGAGCCTTGGGCCCAGATGAGGCGTTCTGTTGCGGTCTTTTGGATGGTGTCAGTCACGATAGTACTATATCGAAGAGAAGGGGGAAGGGGAACCTACGGGCATCACTTTGCGTCTCTTCCCAATCATACCCAGCTTGGGACAGACGTAGACGACGGAGCAGTACAAGCTCCCGCCGGCGCGCTCAATGCACCCGACGACCAAAAAAACGCCCGTCTGCGCGGCAATCTTCTCCAGCTCCTCTCTCGAGCCGTCGCCCCTCTCGACCTTGGCACCAGCGGCGTGCTGCGCGGGGAGCTGTTTCTTGACCCACTTGTCGCCGCCGCCGCCGCCCGCGTCGCCGACGGTGTCGCCGAGGTCGACGGCGGCGTTGAAGTAGGCGAGGAACTCGTCGCGGCCCTCGGGGGCGCGGGAGCCGATTTTGGAGCCGAAGGAGGCGCCGCGGGGGTAGCCTGCGCCCAGGTAGGCTTCGGGGAGGAGGAGGAGGTCTGCGCCGGAGGAGGAGGCGCGGGAGGCGAGGGTGGAGATGTCGGAGAGGGTTTGGGATGTTGTTGCTGCTGTTGCGGGGGACGCTGTTGCGAGGCGGATTGGAGGCATTTTGGCGGTTTGTATGGGGTGTGGTTTTGCGGGTGTGTGATGTTGGTGATGTTGGTGATGTTGGTGATGGCGATGGTTGTAAGTGGTGAGATTTGGGCGTTGGATGCTCGGTGTAGAGTCCTTAATGGATTAGATCCAGCGAGAATGCTTGAAGCGATGGTATCCGAGCTGTATGGATACCTTGTACTGTGAGTCAGTTCAGCTGAAGCGGTGTATTAGAGGGTTTGAGATAACAATGCAGTTTCCCGCGGGATTTGAAAAGGGCGACCGGGCCGATGAATCAGAGAAAAAAAATTGGGCTAAAGACTCCAGTTTGGTAATGAGGTGATTCAAACGCCGAACGAAGGGCGCTATTGCTTCTCTGCAGGTTGAAAAAGGACCCACGATGCGGACGCCAGCGGAGGGGACGGAAGGAGGGGGGAAATGTTCGAACGGGAAGCTTTGCCTTTACTGGGGACGTCATTGTCACATTGTCTTTAGCTACCCCGCAGCAGGGTGGGCGGACCCCGAAAGCTGAACAACCAAACAACCTACTGTAAGTACCCAAGGTAACACCCCCCGGGAAGAGGAGCTCCACGGTTCAGCAACGTCGCGTGCGCTTCCAGGTTTAGGCTGTCGCAAGTGGGCCTCTGGGGGCCCTTGCCCCTGGATGCTTGTACCTGTTGCTGGTGTTGTTGATCATGGGTTAGCAGAGGCTCAAAAACACTGAGATCGCAACTCCTCGTTTTTCTTGTCGCAGATCAGAAATGCCAGGAGTCTCTTGCCCGCTCACCATGGCCAAAGAAATATATCGATTGAAAATGTGGAAGACAACATGAATGAAAGCTATTGCATAAGAAAGATACATCATCACCCGATCTTCGCCACCTTATCCTCGAATGTCAACCGAGCCAGAGCATCGCCTACACCTTATATATCGGACCCCATAATTTCGCCATTTCTCGTAACTTACAGTCATTTGTGCTATACAGTTCGTAATGACTCAACAATTGCCAGCTTGTCGTCATTGACCCTGGCAAAGACACAAGTCGTAACTCAAGCTCGAGTGGGAATCTGTGATCTTGAGACAGAGTGGAGAATGACTTCATAGACCTCAAGGCGCGCCAGATGTTGTTTGGCGGCACTGGTGGCACTGGTGGCATCGATGGCATCGATGGCATTCCGTTCGTTCTGTGCAACATATAGCAGTTCCCCAGTGATGATTGTCGACTTCGTCCAAGGAGCCACATTCTACACAACGAACGGCTTTTTGTCTTGAACAGCCAGCCTGATAGGACGAAAATCCGGCCGGGGTTTCGTGAGGATATTGAGACGTTGGACGGGTTGTAGTCTTCTGTGGTTGATACAAGGGCGCAGGCGCGGCTACAACACGGCTTGGTTGTTTTTGTTGGACAGTCGCAGTCCTCCGTGGTTGATGCAATGGCGCAGGTGCGGCTACAACACGGCTTGGTTGTTTTTGTTGGACAGTCGCAGCAGTGGGCACAAATCGAATTTCATCCCAATCGGATGCCGTTGAGCTCGCGTATGACGCCTGCGACCACGTGAGAAGAGCCTGAAAGAATAACGGAAAGCTCGTTACTTGTCCTTGTCCACTGCTCCGACTCATCTCTCAAAGGCACTGCGAATGAAAGGCACGAATTGACTGACTAGAACGGGGGTTGAGGATGATCTGGTATCACTGGAACTTCCAAGTAGAGATTGTCATATTCCTGCGATAGGTGCCCAAGACCGATCAATAGTGAGAGGCAAACCGCAAGTTTATGAAGAAGGAACTTCGCAGAGTATGCTTTGTCTGGCGGTAATCTGCTGCATTACCTAGGGCATGCCGCTCTGCAAGTATGCGCTTGAGGCTGTGAGGTTTGTTTCATTTCGATCTAGAAAGCAGCCAATCGCCAGTGTTACATCCATAGGCCCCTTTTCCATCTGGCAAATGACTGGCTACAAGCTGGCCACGACTGTCAGCCTCCTGGATGCCTTACGAAACTAATGCAATGAGTGTCTGCCTTGTCTCTTTTCTCACATATTCCAAAAATTTTTGGAACCTCACGAATGGGAGGGTAGCGAGGTGACCAACATGTATCTACGTACCTAAGAACCAACGCGCAGGTAGATGTCCGAGTATGCCTTGGCGTCCAGCTTTGGGTCACCTTCCCATACCTCTAGCTTGTTCCGGCACATGTAACTCGAATATCTGCCGTCGAGGTTTTCTATCTTGGAGATTTAGCAACAGCCAAGCACACCTTTTCAACAATGCCGACGCAGCCGCCAATCCAGCATGTTCCTCAAGGGTCAGTGTTCTCGTTCGCACGTAAAGAAGAGCCCACCGAAGAGGAGATTCAAGAAAAGCCGTGGAAGTACATCGGCTACAAAGGCTACACTAATTTCATCTCCTCGGATGATGACTTCTTCGTACTTCGCAGATTCGACTCACTGAATGTTCGCGCAGCGTTGGCACTTCAGGATGAGTTGTCGTGGCTTGAGGAAGAGCTAGGAGTTCTAGACAATGAACTCAGTGCAAAAGCCGCGGATGATTTCAATAACGGCACGCTGAGACAAGATGTGTCAGAGCGTTCTGATTTAGTAAGAATAATATCGGCGAAGCTGAGGGAATATAGTACGATACCATAACCTGTTACTCTTCGTCTAATATAATTCGGGGTTGGCTGACAGTTACTACCTAGATGAGTTCTTGATACAACAACATACGCTCCGGAAGTTGTCCACAGCACCACGGCGAGACGTGAAAAGTCTTCGTAATTGGCATCACAACCATGACTATAGGGCTATTTCAGAGGATGAGCAGAGGTATCTGAGTCATGAGAAGGACCTTGTAGCGGTGGCAGCGAGAGAGAAGACCCCGTTACGTCAAGTTATTGATGGATCCCTCCGTCTACGAACGCTTAGTCTATGGAGACATGGAGAAGAAAGGGTTGCGACTTACGATGAGAAGGAAGTCACTTACTATTCTGACAAACGGATGGACAGCTTCGTCTCAGCCGTTATCATCGCCATCGGAGTTCTGATGCTCATCACGCCCATATGGATCCTCCAGGCCTTGACGGATCTCAAGGCTAAACTCGCAGTCATCACGGTCTTCATCTTCGTCTTCCTTCTCGTTCTTTCCCTAGCCATGGTGGCTAAACCTTTCGAAGCACTAGGTGCAACTGCAGCGTACGATATCTTCTGCCTCCTAATACAAGGCCCATGACTAACGTGAGTATAGATATGCGGCGGTACTGATGGTTTTCCTCCAAATACAGTCAGGAGACTCTTGATCTTAGTCTTGAATGAGCTCAGGAACTTTTTATGATAGTAAAAGCTGGAGAAACGGCATGTACCATAAGGTCGGGAGTGACTTTCCGGATAGTTTGAGACAGCCTGGCGGCCAGATGCCTTTTATACAGGGTGTCAAGGTAACATGAGCTTGATACTAGCCAACGCCACACCAACAAGTAACTCATCAAGGTTGCTTCTAACCTTGAGCCCAAAGCCCATACCCTCTATAGCCGAGCAAAGTTGAAGTGTCTGTCGGGGTGGGCGAGCAACTGCACTCTGGCCAAGTGGTCTAGCGTGCGACGTCTTCGTCCATAGATCGCAAACTGAAATCTATCTAAGCCCTCTGCACCCAGCGTCTTGCAGAGGCACTATAGTCTGCCATTTTGCCAGTTCGAGTCTCCCTTTTGTCGCTTTTTTATGGACCGTAGTGGCCTTTATAGTGTTCAATAGGTGGAGAAAACGTTAAGATTGGCCATATTCTTAACCGCAATCATCTGTCATTACTATACATCACATTATATCTCATCCACCAAATTACTCAGATCAGCCTTCCTCAACCTCGCCTCCGTAAGCAACAACTCCTTGGGAAACCACTCCGCCAACCTACCACCAGGGAATCCAACCCCCTTCTCCAGCACAACATCCTCCTTGCCCGCAACCATGACCCCCAACGCGGACCCGCAAAGCCAAGCCCAGACCATACCATCACCACAATACCCAGCACTAACCCACTGTCCAGCCTCGGCCCCCATCCACGGCTGTTCCTCCTCCATCTCATCAACCGTCTTCTCAACCTTCTTCACCTTGACATTTTCCCTCTCCTTCTTCAACCCAAACCAAGAAGATACAGACGTAGACGAAGAAGAACCAGATGAACTAGTCTTCCCCTTAACTCCAACAACACTCGCGGGAACCCGCCCAACAAAAGGCGCCATATCCCCCGTAACACCCAAAACACCACTCCAAACCCTCACCACATCGCCCCTCCACCTAGCCCCAAACACGGCGCTCATGACCCCAGACACATGCGCAATCGTCATTCCATCCGTCCCGGAATCGTCGTACACGCCAACCATGTCCACCCCCTCGCCCGCGCTCCGCGCGAACCCGCCACCGAGCATCACGTCCCCGTTAGGCCGCTGCGTCACGTAGTCGAAGGCGCCGTTGCCGTAGATGATGCTCCATGATCTGCTTCCAGTATAGCTGTTATCCGGCCACTGGAAGCCTCCTCCTTCTCCTTGTTGAGTACTCTGCCCGGAGGTTGTCGTCGTCGAGGGTCGCTGGGCAGTCATATGAGCCTTCACACCCGCCATCTTCCCCCTCAACCCAGGCAAAAACTGTCCCGCATGCGCATTCGTAGCATGAACAACATGCCTCGCCCTGATCGCCCCCCTCGCCGTCCTAACAACATACGGCCTCCCACCCCCCTCGCCATCCACCACGACCTCCTCAACAGGCGTATTCATCTCCAAGCTCAACCTGCTCCCAAACTCATCAACCAACTCTTTCCAAATCTTCGCAACAAGCCGATACGGCCATAGCGCGCCGGCGCCATACACCAACCCGCCCGCAACATGACCCCCCTCGACCCCAAACTTCGCCTTCGTCTCCTCCCTCCCCAGCACCGCAATCTCAACCTCGGGCACCCACCGCCTCAACTCCTCCACCTCCTTCTTCCCGGCCTCGAACCCCTTATCGTCGAGGAAGAAATCCACCGTCTCGACGCGTCTGCATTCGGCCACTTCCCTGCCCGCCTCCCCGCCAACCTCCAACACGGCCTCGGCGGTCCGCAGCGCAAACTTGGTCAACCTCGCCGCGCCCTCTTTGCCAAAATACTTTGCGAGCTTCGGAAACAGCTCGTGCGGACTCGCCTTGACGTGTCCCCCATTCCGCCCCGTCGCACCGGCACACAAACTCCTCGCCTCAAGCACCACAACCCTCGGTCCCTTCTTCTCCCCTTCTTCTCCATCCGATGCGCCTGCGGCGGTATACAGACTCCTAGCCACCGCGGCCCCCGTAATCCCGCTCCCGATAATAACAACATCCGCCTCCGACGGCAGCTTTTGCGACTGCGCGTCCGCCAGCTCCGGGAACGGCGGGTCGTCGAGCCAGTACGGGCTCGAAGGGGTCGCGTGCGGCAGGCCCGGCGGGGCGTTGACGCGGGCTAGGAGGGCTTGGTATGTCTTGTTCAGGTCCAGGAGGAGCTTCGCGACGGCGCCGACGGTTTTTGTTGCGCCGCGGAGGGCGGAGAGGACGGAGCCCATTATTCTTTGTGATTTTTCTTCTTCACTATCTTGAGGCGAAGCAGGAATGAAAATGATACTTTTTGAACTTGTTCGTGACGGAAGCGAGTCGAGCATGCGACCATATGTTGTAATCTCTTGGTGGCCCACTTCTTTTGGTACTACTACCCAAAGACAAACCTCCTACTGGGACTTGAATGAGCTGAGTATATGGATGGGAGCACTGATCAAGTTCGTCATGAGATATTGGATGAAACCAGCATAGCCATGTGTCCAAGTGTGCCGGCAAAGAGCATCCCTTCCAATATTATACTTCGATCGACGTCGGAAGCTTACATAAGACACCCGGACCTCAAGCGGCCGGCAACCCGGCAACTCGGAAACAGGACGCAAAGAGTGAGAGAGGACCGTGGCCGTGGCGTTTACTTAACTTTCCCCCCATCACCTGGACTCAGTACTATCATTGGAACACAAAAGGCCATTGGATCAGTTCAGGAGGGAAGTACGGTAAAAGATTTCTACTCATTTTGTCTACCTTGACGTCTAAACCTAACCCCAAAAGGCAACACAAGAAACGCAAACGCCTTCACACCCCCCTCACCAATACTTCGCATCACAGCATTCCTCATCAGCAACGCCCACGTCGGACGTCAGATACGGCACAAGTCTGCAGCAGCCACCACTGAAGCTCACTCGAGAGAGACAGAGAAAACAGAATGAAAGTACAAAACATCTCAGTTGCCTTGAAATCTGTATTTGTGACGCCGAACCGATGCCGGGTATGTTGTCAAATGCCGTCCCTGACTCCGCCGAACCCCAAGTCCCATTCCATTCCATAAAAGCCACACACACCCGATCCAGAATAATAAAAATAATTTCCCAAATTATCAACATGAAGAAAGAGACACTTTCTCCCCTCTCCCTCTTCCCCTAAATCATTCGCTGACAGACCCCTCCTCATCCGAGACGTGGTCGATGTCAATGTCATCAACATCCATACTGTGACCTCGTCTGTGACAATCCGGACCCATCTCAGCACGGATATCCTTCTGGATCTTGAGGAAATATTTCCTCAACGTTCGAAGACCTCGGAGGAAGCCACGGTCCGGCTCATTGGGATGCCGCGGCGGACACGGCTTTCCCTCTGCAAGGTCGCCCTTAGTCAGGCTATTTGCAAAGTCGGCAATCTTGAAGTCGATGCCGCGCTTCTTCTTCTGCTTCTTCTTCTCGCGCAACGCCGACGTCTCCTCCGTGTCGGTTGCAAAGTCAGTCGTAGAATCGTCAACGACTGTATCGTATTCATTACCCTCGCTGGTCGTGTCGCCATCGTAAAACATGAGGAGACTGGCGGCGTAGAATCGGTAGCCGTCCAGTCCTCGGACGATCGACTCGAGGTGGTCCAGCTTTTGCAGGATAGTCGGAATGTGTCGCAGGATGCTCGAGTAGTCGACGCCATCGTACAAGAATCGCGTCAAAGCGTCCTGGAACTCCTGGCCGGCTTTGAGATCACGTCCAAAGTACTTGTCCTTAAAGACGTAGCTCTGACTCTTGACATCCCAGACTTGAAGTCCGCATACACGCACGCCGAGTTCACGCGAGGTTGTCCTGGCACACTTGCCCTGCTGCGACTTTTGTTTCTTGGGCGTGGCCTCTACGCCGTACTGTCTGGTGCCCATCTTGAGGTCCATGATACAAGGCCGCTTCATGCCTGCCGTGAGATCTTCCAAAAGGAGGAAGTACTCGACGCGGGAGTCTCTTTGCGTTTGCGCTTCCTTCGGATTCACAGGTCGCGGGATTCTGCGGAACTCTTGGATAGGGCTAGGCACCTCGGACGGAACAGTTGACGCATACGTAGAGTACTCAGCTTCGGTCGGGACGTCGGCTTGAGATGCATCGGCAGCAGGCACTGGGAGACTCAGTTCTTTCGCGGCACCTTCACTGGCATTTGTGCCATTCGTGCTTGGCGCTTCGATCATGGGCGAGTTCACTTGGGACGTGATGAGGGACTGCCCGCCTTCGTCTTCACCTCTATAACCAGCGTCATCCGCCTCTTCCCAGTACTTGAGATGTCCTCTAGACTCCGTCACTGTTCGTGGCTTCCGTCGGAGGCCTGTTCCAGAGTAACGTCTCTTCTTCTTTTGAGCAATAATCTTGTCTGCAAGAGTTTCCGGCTCCGGTGCACTGGTACCAGTCACGTCCTTGACATCGCTATCTTCGGCTTCTGCCTCGGCAGCCTCGAGATGGCTCGGGCGCTCCATGGCAATGCTCTCTGTGGGAGGGGGCGAGGAGCTGCTTGGCCGAAGCGGGCTAGGCTTTTGAGGTGCGTGACCTTCTACGGCAGACGGATCCTGTCTGCGCACCAAGTCGGGTACGGAGCTAGCTGGCCTCAATGTCGGCTGCTTACGAAAAGCCATCGACTTTTGGTGTGGGCGGCGGTGCTTGTGGATCGGAATTGGCTGCTTCAAGAAGACGTCGTTGAACACCTCATTGCGCAGCCGCTTGTTAACGGTGGTTGCACCCCAGCTATTCGCGTGCCTGTCATCCAGGCTCGGCCTTGTTGGAGATGCCATTTTGCTCTGCTCAGGGTTGTCCGGAAGACCTGCAGATGAGGTGCTTCGGCCTCGAGGCGGCATGACTACTGGAGGAGGCGTTGGTTGCAGCAGATTCCGCGGCAGGATATGCCAGTTGTCGTCAAAGGTCACCGTCGGTATTGGCTCGGGCGCGGAAGAAAGTGATTGGCTAATGATGCGGCGGTG